TTTTTTATTTTACATGTAGTTGTGGTATCTTACTTTAAAAATGTTTGTCAGGGTTGTGTTCATCCTTTTTGTTTTTTATAACTTCATCTGAAACTAAGCCTTTCTTCTTCTCTTTTGAACTTTGCTTTGAAGAATATTTTTTGACCAGATAAAAGAAGCTACAAGTGCAGCTTTTTAAAATTAAAATGACCACTTTTCTGTATTTCTTTATAAATATTCATGTATTCCTATAGTATCTTGCTGTGACGAGCCCAGTATTTTAATATATGTATTAGAAATGGCAGAAGAAAAAAGTACAATATCTTACTTTCCTGTAATTCAAACAATTATTTCTGAGTGCTTATTTTTTCAATTTTGTAGAGAAGTTTGATTTATTTTTTAAAGCCTAAAATAAATAAGAAATCAACTGTGTGTTCTAATTAGTAGGCTGAAATTCTGAGTATTTGCTTTCTCCACAAATACCGTTTGTATTGATGGTAGAGAGAACGTATCTGATTCTTCTTTATGTGCCTTGGGATTTAAATCTATGCTAACCGCATACTCGGCTTCCAATAAATTGATGTTGATTGAATGGATGGTACAACTGCCACATTTTTTTGCTCACGTCCACAATGCTCTATCTATTCTCCAAAAACGTCATTGTCCTTCACATCTCTATGACTTTGCAGATGCCATTTCCTCTGCTAGAAATGCCTTTTCTCTCGTGATTCCTTTGCCAACCTCCACCTCCTTTTTAAGACCCAGCTCAAATGTTTTACCTTTTATAAAGCATTTCTAATTGCTGGGTGTGGTGGATCATGCCAGTAATCCCAGTACTTGGGAGGCCGAGATGGGTGGATTGCCTGAGCTCACAGAATGACCAGGCTGAGCAAGAGCAAAACCCCATCTCTAAAAATAGCTGGGTATTGTGGCAGATGCCTGTAGTCCCAGCTATTCAGGAGACTGAGCAAGAGAATCGCTTAAGTCTAGGAGTTTGAAGTTGCTGTGAACTATGATGCCACGGCCTCTACCCAGGGTGACAGAGTGAGACTCTGTCTCAAAACGAAAACAAACAAACAAACTGAAAAGCATTTCTCAAGGCCAAGGTGAGGCCTTAGTCATCTTTATGTTCCCAGTGTCTGGCACAGAGGCAGAAATAACTAAACAAGTAAAGAACGAGCAAGTGAATGAAGAAAAGGGTAGAACTAGTATCCCTTCGCGGAGAAGGGCATTTTAGTACAGGATGAAAATTCTGGATTTTTGACTCACTGTTGGGTGAATCCAGGTCAGGTTACTTCACCACTCTGAAACTTATATTTCCTTGGTTGTAAAATGAAGATAATGATAGTACCTGACTCAAAGGATTCTTGTGAGAATAAAATGAGATCCTGTATATAAAATCCTCTGCCTAAGCAGTGCTAAATCATAGTCAATGCTGAGAGAATTCTTCTCTGGGGTCTTCTCTGATTTGCATTGGAAACTGCATCATGGTTGAATCTGGCTGGCCTCAATGAGATCATATCAGAAAGAAATATTTTGGTTGGAGAACAAGAGAAGTGCCATGCCACCGCCATTTCCTTCCAAACTAAAGAGTAAAACTCCAGAAAAGCAAAATCAGCCTAAGGAGGAAATACTCATTGATTAGAATTTCCTGACACTCAAGTTTTAAGAGAAAGAGACAAAGCACACATACACATTATGCACACACAAACTTAGAAGGATCTTTTTCAGTGTTTTGAACACAAACACAGGTAAAATAAATACAATATGTCGACACATATACATATACCATGTTAAGGATATATATAACGGATATCTACAATTTGAAAGGTGTCTGAAACACAGGATGTCTATAAAGTTTGCGTGCAATTTAAAATAGTTAAAAATTTTATTTTTTTTATAAAGGTTTTTCTTTAAGAGATAAATCTATTTTATGGTGCAGAACAGGATTTTATGAGCATACATTTAAAAAGTTGTTTTATTTTTCTGATGATGAAAGTAATAAGTACTCACCATGGATAATTCGAGTTGGAAAGGAAAAATAAATTGCAGAAAATTTCATCATAGGAAGAAAACTATTCACATTTCATTTATTCATTTGTACTTTTTCGATGTAGAACCTTTCTACACAGAACATTTGTTATCTATCTGTATGTTTAGTTTTGGATACTTTTAGTTAGCTAAACATTATAACCTACGACTGTCCCTATGATAACCCAAGTTATTATTGGATATGTGTATTCTATTGAGTGGGGGGTTCCATCATTTACCCAGTCATCCTCATATTGTGGAATATTTATAGAGCCTTAAATTTTTTACTGGTCTAGTAGAGATGCAATAGAAATATTTATGAACAAGGTCTTTTTTTGGTATTTTTATTTATTAAAGGTTTTTTTTTTTATTGTTTGGGATTCATTTAGGGTACAAAGAATTAGGTTACACTGATTGCATTTGTTAGATAGAGTTCCTCTTGTAATTGTGTCCCACCCCCAAGAGGTATGCCATACACCATGATAGTTTTCAATTTTAAATTGCACACAAACTTTATGGCCATCCTATATAGTACTTAATTTCTCAAGCACTAATTTTGGGAAGACCGGAAGATGACAATTCATGGTGGATGGCATCATTTCCTTCCTTTTCTATTTCTTCGATTCTGTGCATCGTGTCCCGGTGGTCATAAACTACCACTGGGCGAAGGCAGGTTCTTGGATTTTTGTTCAATATAGAAATTAATAAAACTAACTTTAAAATGTAAGAAAAATTATAAATTTTATACATAGCAAGTAACTGCCAGGGGATGAGCTTAGAATACCTTCAGCTTAAACTTCTATTTCTTTGCACAGGTGTAAATAGGCATCTTGGGGACCTAACAGCTTACTAACTGGTGATTTGATTTGACTCTGTGTTTAAAAAAGTTCAAAATGGATGCCAACGTGAAAAAAGAAATTATATGGAAATCTTCAACTACATCCCTAGATAGAGTGATTAGTGTAATGAAGCTCCTTGTAATTCACCATCCTGCTTCAATAATTATACCCATATTCTGTCTTTCTGTTGCATCCTTTCCGCTCCTTTTTAAATTTGTTTTGTGAGGGTATTTTAAAGCAAATACCAGATATCACGCATTTCACTCATCGATATTTCAATGTGTATCTTCAGCAGATAAAGACTTAAAAATTATAATCACAATCAGTGAACATAACAAATTAAGATTGGTCTGTTAATATGATCTAGCACCCAGTCTGTGTTCCCCGATTATATCAATAAAGTCTTTCTTTTTAAACAGTTTTGTTTGAATTAGAATCCAAATCCAGTCCACTAAGTATATTTATTGGCTAAATATCTTAAGTCTCTTAATTAGAAGTTCTCATTCTTTGTTCTCATATCATTTGCTTCTTGAAAATTTTATAAGTTGATAAACATAGATGAAAACGTGGATATGTGTCTCCTTTTGGAAAAAAAAAAGGATTATATTCCAGTAAGGCAACATTTGGTTGGAGCCGGGTGGAGGCTGCATCCTTTAGATCCTGCAAGTTCCCCACAGTCCACACTTGGCCCTATTGTTCCAACCATCATAACTCATTTATGTCATCTGCCCAGTGCCAGTGGGCTTTGAGCTGGCTGCCTCTGGCCTGTCTTTACTTCTGTTAGGTGAGGAGAACTGACATCTGAATAAAGTCCTAAATATCTCCTTAGTCATTAAATAAATATTTAGTTTTGCGCACTATGTTAAATTTAGGTAGAAATGTAAACTAAAATGTTTTAAAATCTTTCAGCAAGAATTGACTCAACAAAAGATTTTTTTTCATCCTAAATTAACCCAACACTTTATAAACTGGCATCTCTCTTTTCTCGAGGATTCCAGTCAATCTGCTTTACTGTCTTTCTTTTTTTTGAGACAGAGTCTCAAGCTGTCACGCTGGGTAGAGCGCCGTGGTGTCACAGCTCCCAGCAACCTCCAACTCTTGGGCTTACGCAGCTCTCTTGCCTCAGCCTCCCAAGTAGCGGGGACTACAGGTGCCCACCACAACGCTCAGCTATTTTTTAGTTGCAGTTGTCATTGTTGTTTGGCAGGCCTGGATTTGAACCTGAGGGTTCCAGTGTATGTGGCTGGCACCCTAGCCACTTGAGCTACGGGCGCCGAGCCTGCATTACTGTCTTTCACTCTGCAAATACCTTCTTCACCTGTGTATAGTTGGATCCTCCAAAGGGTACTGGGCAAGGTATTGGAAACCCCAGAATTGGGTCCTAGACCTCCAGGATCTATGGGCCATCATTTCGCTTCTCTGTGTCACCTTTGCAGAGTAAAACAGCCTATCTCTCAGGGTTGTGAAGTTCAGATAAGGTAATAGATGTGAAATTAGTTTGTAAACTGTATAGCTCTAGATTGAACATATTACTATGCATAGGATATACTGAATTATGCATAACATCCTCTTTTATGCCTCTGTGCATTTGCTCTGCTGTTTCCTCTCTCCATAATGTCCTCGAGAATTAATTGCTAGTCATCTGTAGTCCCCAAACACTTTATGCCTATTTCTTTACAACATTTGTCACAGTGTATGAAAGCCATTTGTTCACATTTCCGTTTTCTGTCAGATTCTGAGCATAAACCACAGTTTATTCCATGCTTGGCATAGAGCTATCTTTCAGTAAATGTCTCTTGAATTGATCTGAATTAACTTGAACAATTATCACTTGAGCCCGTCCTGAAGGACAAAGTCGATGCCCATCAAGGTCTTCAGGTATAACACCTAGTAGCTGACCAGACTTATGATGAAGATGATGATGATGTAACACTCATGAAAATAGGGTTCTGTATTTTTAATTTGAGTAAAAGATCAGATTTCTCAAGTAGGTTATTTTTAACTTGAGTGTATGAACAATAAGAATACAAATGTGGAATGATTGTCATTTAAAATATATTTTTCCTGCTGGGGACATCTTAACCTCCCAGTCATCATTTTTGGCTCCAGTCTCTGGTTCTGATTAACTTAGAGCTTCTTAATCTTTTACAGCTGGTTTCCCATCCATCCAGTCAGCATGAACAACACCAACCATCTTGTAAATAGTGACAATGTGGGCTATGCAGCTTACCTTTTTGAGCAAGAGAAGAACAGAGGGTACCTACCTGGAGAGGTGAGAATTTATGTCATTATAAGATTCATGTGCTATTCAGAACAGGCAATTCAAATCCCCGGGATAAACTGGCATCATGGATAGATATGCTTGGAGAGAAATCATCCACCATCCTCCTTAACAGGAGAAGAAAAATTAAAGTGAGTAATAAACCATTGCTGTTTGTACTGACAGCTTCCTAAGTTATGATTAGTTAAATAGGGAAGGGCAAGTTCCAGATGTTTGAGAAATACAGTCATTTTTGATCAAGTTGAAAGTAGTACAGACTGCGTTGATGTTCGCTTTTGTTTTTAGAGCTATAAAAGTATTAAGCGCTATTCTAATTGTGTAAGAACTCTGAATGAGGACAGGTGAGTCCTTTCCGGTGGTCCAGTTTTCTCTCTTAATGGTGAATTTCCTTTCAAGGCCCTTTCTATTTTCCTGCAGCAAGGCCTACATCAGAGACAAGCCTAATCCATCAGACTTGTGTCTGTAACTTTGAAATTCACTGAATGACATGATCAGACAAGGGGGAAGGGCAGAAGCCCAGTCCAGGCCCTCTAGAAGTCTCCTCAACTTGGGGTACATTAGTAGCTCCTGGTAAATAAATGAGAAGAGGGACCCTGCTCTGCTTGGCCCCAGCACCCAAATACCAAACGCAGAAAAATAGAGGACAGGGTGAGAGTTCCAGCCTTGCGTGGAGTTAGTGTTCCATTATGAAGGTATTGAGAACGATGTTCCCATTAACATTGAGCCTGTTCTTGAAGCTCAGTCTGTGTTGTTAGAACAGAATACCTGAGGCTGGGTACGTTTTAAATGAAAAGGTTTATTTTGGCTTAAGATTCTTTGATCGAAAAGTTCAAGATTGGGCGGGTGTGTCTGGTGGGGGCCTCAAGTTGTTTCTATTCATGGCAGAAAGTGGAAGGGGAGCGAGCATTGCAAAGAGACCCGTGGTGAGAGAGGAGGCAGAAGGAGACAATCTACTCTTGTGGGAACTATTGCAATACTTTCCCGAGAAAGTGGAACTCATCCACCCTGTCATCGGCTCTGGAGAGAGCCGTCCCTATGACTCCATCCCCTTCCACTAAGCCCCACGTCTCAACCCTGCCACCTGAGTTTTAGGGGGCACAGACCACATCCAAACCACAGCAAGCTTCTTTGTTGGCAAAACTCACTCTATTCTCTGCATTTTAGGGAAAAGAAAAGAGACTCCCATTGATGATCACCGCCTGAGTGCTGACACTCTGAGATAAATTATGTTTTTTGTATTAAAGAAGACATATGATCTGCAATATTTTATTGTTTTTTTTTCCCTAAGAAAATTTAAGACATTTAGGGTGGAATGGTAGCTTAGTTGGGTTGAGGCTGAAGTCTTACTCTGCTCTGATACCACTGAAGAGAGAGAGAGAGAGAAAGAGAGAGAGAGAGAGGGAGAGGGAGAGGGGGAGAGAGAGAGAGAGAGAAGATGTTCAGAGGGCAGATCCAGATGGTGGGTGGGATATTAGTTTTGCATTAGGAAAGCCTACATTTGTTCTTTTCTTTGAAGACAGTATTTTTAAACAGCAGATGGATCTCTTAAGTCCAGGTAACTAGAGCAAATGGATCTCTTAATACCAGAGATTAGATTGACAGGTCAGCATTTCATAATTCATTGTTGCACACTTTTTATTATCAAAATGTTTCTGTTGAAGGCATAAATGTGAAACTCTCATACTTGAAGCAGCTTTGCTGATAATTTGAATGTTTTCAGTCAGAATATGTATACTGACTGTACTGGGAGCCTTTTCAGAAATAAAATTTCTTTATATTCTCTTTTTGCATAGCCTCTTCTTATAGTCTGCAAATGTTTTTAAATGGTTTACCAGAGTGCATTGAATGTCATAGAAAATATAATGGAAGTCATTATAGAAAATAAGAAAGAATAAAAGGCAACCGATGTTTCTTTTGGCAGGGACCATATGTTGCAGCTTTTGCTTCATCAAACCTGGGAGATGTGTCCCCCAACATTCTCGGCCCTCATTGCATCAACACGGGAGAGTCTTGTGATAACGCCAATAGCACCTGTCCCATCGGCGGGGTAGGTAATTGCGGCATGTGAAATCTCGGTTTCTGCGTCTCAAGTAGGCTCCATGTTTTAATGTTTATCCTAAATTACAAATATGTTGTCCTTAAGTGTACATCAGTCTATTTGTCTCTAGCACCTGCCTCAAACCACTACACTTCGATTAGGTAAAGATATACTTTTCCATATGAATGCCTGTTAAGTTTTGTGAATGGTGAATTTAGCAACAGTCAGAGGTTCACTTTCTTTCCCTAAACTTGGACCATCTGCAATATTTTGCCTTGGCATTTCTGAAGTCAACGTTTGTACCAAAAATGGCCTGCCTGAGACATTTCCCACTGATTATAAAACCTATATTTTTTTAACATAAGACTAAAATTGCTTTCCTTCCTTTAAACGTTACAAACCAAACATATTGCTTTAAAAAATTCAAGCAATGTGGGAGCATAGAGAGTAGTAAAAAGCAAAATTCTCCATTCGTTTCCTTTTCTGCTATGTTCTCACCTTCCCAGAAGTTACTGTTCTCACATATCTTCATGAATTCATAATTCAATTTTATGAATTATTTATGGATTTTTTTTATTGGTTCAGGACTTGAGTTTTCCACCTAATTCATCTTAGAGATCTTTTTGTAATTATGTATACATCTGTGTAGCAATTTTTAAAGACACCAAGGAAGGCTATGGCATTGTGTATTTAACTGTTTTCCTCCAATGTTCATTTAGGTTTATTTTCAACTTTGACATGAACAGCAGGTATTAGTTTTTCAATTCTTATTCTTGTATTTATGGAAGATACCACCTGTGATATTATGCACTATTTCTGGGCCATTTTTTCTATGACAGTCAACTCCGTCCGATGAATGATATGGTTTTCACAATACAGTTTTGTGTTTTATGTGACTATTTTTATTTATATGGAAAGTCTTTGTTACTCTTCATTTGAAAAAATCTTTACATGTTATTAATTTGCAATACATTTTAAAATTGCTTATTAAATTCCTAAATTCACAGGTAAAATGGTTAAATAACTTGTGAAACTTATTTGCAAGAGAACATCATGCATTCACTGCATGTCTTCATGCAGGGTGGCTCACATTCAAAGTTCCAACCAGTCAGGAGGCCAAGGCATGAGAATTGCTGGAGCCCTGGGGTTTGGGTTTGCAGTGAGCTATGATGATTGATGGTGCCACTGCACTCTAGGCTGGGAAACAAGAGACTCTAATTCAAAAAAAAAAAAAAAAAAAAAAGATTAGTAAGGGTCTTTTTTTCTTATTGACTTTTTTAAGCTCCTAGTATCTTAAAGTCTTAGTTTTGTCAAATCAGACAATCTTCTCTCCCAGCTAATCAGTTGTCTTTCAGCCTTATTTGTGTTATTTTTGGCTCATATGTTTAAAATGTTAAGTCCTCAAATTCAACTATACTTATTCTGAAAATTTTTTAGAAGTTACTTCTGTACCCTTAGACTATAAAATATATAAGTATATTCACCCACAATATTTAAGTTTTTTTTTTTGAGACAGAGTCTCACTCTGTCACCCATAGGGTCATAGCTCACAGCAACCTCAAACTCCTGGGCATAGTCATCCTCTTGCCCCAGCCCAATGCTTGGATAATTTTTCTATTTTTATTAGAGACAGGGTCTCAGTCTTGCTCAGGCTGGTCTTGAACTCCTGAACTCACAGCATCCTCTAACTTGTGGACTTGAGCAATCCTCTTGACTCAGCCTCCTGAGTAGCTAGGACTAGAGGCACCCTCCAGGATACCTGGAGAGTTTTTTTTTCTGTAGAGATGGGGTCTGGCTCTTGCTCAGGTTAGTCTGGAACTCCTGAGCTCAAGCAATCCACCTGCCTCAGCCTCCCAGAGTGCTAGGATTGCAGGCATGAGCTACCCTTCCTGGTGTAATACTTGAGTGTTTGATCAATTTTTCTAATGTAAAGAGCAGGACAAAAGGCCAGGTTATTTATTTTAAAGTGGTTGTGAGCAAGAGTCATAGGAGAGAACAAGCAAGCAGAAAGATGTACAGCCAGTGCAGAAACCTGGCTTCAATTCTCACCTCGGATGTTAGCTGCCTGTATAATCCCCAGCTGATCCTTTAACCCATCTGACCTTCAATTTCCTTATCTAAAAGTAAGGTGCTAGAATAGGTCATTTCTAAAGGCATTCACTGCCCCAATTCCATGTATGATTTTTTTTTCTAGCCTAGAAATTGAGAAAATATCTGAAAACAAATACTAGAATGTGGCTTAAAAATCTATTTTCAGTAGTAATTTTTCATTCCTTAAAATAATCACTTATTTCACCAAGAATGCATCTTGTCTCATTTGGTTCTAGCCTGGTATGTGTATGGCTATGGGACCTGGACAGGACATGCTGGACAGCACACAAATCATAGGACGCACCATTTATCAGAGAGCGAAGGTAAGCCCTGGGTCTCGGCCTTTCATCTTTATTTAAAATCGTTCTTCGCAATCCACAGCCATTGCTCGTTAGGAAGTGGAGAACTGTAAGGAGGACAGCAAGACGCAGGCTGCGCCTGGGAGTCTGGAGGAGTCGGCTTGGCAGGCTGCCCTGGCAGCCACCAGGGAGCCTCTCCCTGCCTGCTCCAGTCTGATTTCTTACAGGAAGTACATTTAAACCCAAATGATCAGGAAAGCATTCTGTGATAGAATGTTTAGAAAGCCAGAGTGCTTGCTTCAGACAGCAGCAGATGATAAAGTTTTCAGTCAACGTGGCATCAGATAGGACCAGACTGATCCACGTTCTCAGCAGTCTCAGGCCTTTGCTTGACAGAAGTCTCCGGAGTGTTTCTCACCTTCTCCTTTGGTGACAAGGCAAAGCTGAGCAGCTCAACTCCCAGTTCTTGCAACTTAGGTTCAAATTAGTTCTGAGTCTTCTTCACTGTGGCAGAGATCATCCTTTTTCTTCTTTCCTTTTCTTTCCCTTTCTTTTGCTTCTTAAAAGAAGGGAGAATCTCCTTGAATCTCCCCAGTGAGGTTACTATGAATTACTCTACCCTCCTCCTCCTCCTGATTTTTATCTTCCATTTGCCCCGTATTTTGTTTCAGCTTCCATGGAGGCAGATTGCTCACTGAAAGACAAAAGATGACTTTGAACCGAGGTGTCCCTGATAAAGATGGTTAAAGCCTTTCCCTTTATAGCCTGTTCATACCTTTGTCTCCCGTGTTGTGTGTCAGGGGTGAGTGCGTGGTGTGTGTATCGAGTAAATAATGTAAGCCGTGGGTTTTAAAATGTTTCAGGAGCAATTAAGGAAGAAGAAAAGCTTTTTTAAAAACATCAGACGTAAAATTGTTAGCAACAGCCAGCCTAATTGCTGTGGTTGCTTTTTAATTACTGTGGTATTGTCAGTGGATTATTCCAAATTAACAGATTCTCTTTAAAGTATGTGCACCCATGACATACTTTAATGTCAGAAATTTTATTCTCGTTCTGGGCCTGGGAGCCACAGAGATTTGTCCCACATTCTGGATTCCCTTCTCGGCACAGCATAACTTCCCTCTTAATTAGGAGAGGCAGGCTGCAGCTGGTGTTACCGACGAGTTAACCGCAGAGCTCAGATGTAGCTTTTGAAATTGGGATGGGGACAGTGGACAGGAGCTGGGCACCAGTGCCTAATGTGCATCGCTAAAAACACAAATTTCTGAACACTTTTTTTTTTCTAAACACGTTTTAACTCACATTTCTCAAAAGATTAAAAAAGCATCAATTGACTGCATGTGTGTTAAAAACAATAAGAAAAGCACCTGAGGGTGCAGGCAAAGGGTCCAGTTTTCAGTGGGGAAACTGATGAAGATGAAGTGTGGCCTCTGGTCTTCCAGGCCACCCTCGGCCCCAGTCCTGTTGGAGGACTGAAGGATTCTGAGAGGACTCCATGAAACACCAGAGGTTACACTCACATTCTGGCAAAGACAGTAATCTGGCCCACTTATTCCGAATCTGAAATCTTCTTGACAGTTTTTCAAGTGAGATTGGGGCCCTTCTGTGCCATAGCTTTTATCACCTGAATTTTATTTTTGTGGGGAGTAGATACAGGTCAACGGTGTAGGAGATGTCACGCTTCTGAGAAACTACTGGGGCTGGTAGAGACCCACCTGGACAGCGGCTATTTCTAAGAAGCCAACAAAACAAAAGCTTGCTTTGCAAAGAGATGCTTTTCCAAACTGGTACTTATGGGGTACAGTTGGTGCTATCCACGTCACTTTTTTTGCTTGGGACAATAAGCCTGTGTGTTTTCTAGGAACTGTATGCTTCCGCCTCCCAGGAGGTGACTGGACCACTAGCTTCAGCACACCAGTGGGTAAATATGACGGATGTGACTGTCTGGCTTAATTCCACACACACAGTAAGTGTCACTGAGTCACACTGGTTATGTTGCAAGGGTAAATAAAACTCTGGGTTGATCTCATTATTTTCAGCTTAACTTCTGTTTCTTTCTTGTTTTTGTTTTCTTTTTAAAATCTTTCTTTTAGGCAAAAACGTGTAAACCAGCATTGGGCTACAGTTTTGCAGCTGGCACAATTGACGGAGTTGGAAGTCTCAATTTTACACAGGGTGAGGTGAAATCTGATGAAACCCAGAGTTCCGGATTCTGAAGCGTCAGGGTCTGCTCTTTAATCAGGCTTTCCTGAAGTCAACACATTTCTTACTTTTATTTTTAAATTCAGGGGTCTGCTGGTTTTCTAGTTTTGTATGTGAGAGTCTACATTTTCCAAGGATAGGTTTCTTTGGTACTTAGCTTTTCATTAATTCAAAAATGGTTTAGACAATGAAGTTCGCGAATTCATCCTGGAACAAGTTGCTGAATATCACCATTACTGTCACCTTCAAAGTCCTCCCCTTGGGAGGCTGTACACGGATGCCAGTGCCTACTTCACCTTTAAAAGAAATGTTGGCACACTTTTTCTGGAATGGCCATCAAAGCTGATGTCATACCAGGTCTGACCATTAAGTTTGCTTATGTTGGTGGCACTATACAAACAGCTTGGTAAGATTTCATAACTTTGGCATATCGGTGTCTCATAGCTCTGTGTTCATGTCAACATGTGGTGCCATTTTGCTGAGTGGGGTTCATTATTATTGTTGCATAGTTTTCTGTGCTATAAAATGATAGCTCTAATGGCTATTTCTTTCTTTCTTTCTTTCTTTCTTTTTTTTTTTTTTGGCTGAGGCTGAGTTTGAACCCACCACCTCCAGCATATGGGGCTGGCACCCTACTCCTTGAGCCACAGGTGCCACCTGGCTATTTCTTAAAAAGAGTTTCAAAATTGCTTTGAAGGGTGCAACTGGGTGCTGATGTTAGTACATAGCTTCCCAAGGAGAGTCCTTTGACGGTGACCTTAGTGATATTCACCACTGAGGTAGATAACATGTTTTCTAGGATGAGTTCATGAACTTAACTGTCAGACCTCCCACTGTAGCATCAGAGACAAAATCTCTTTGCATTTCAATGTATCAGTGAATAATTTTAAATTGTGCTGGGCTGAGTTGAGGAGGTAGGGTGGGAGTCATTGTTCAACAATATGAATCGCCCTTCCATGTCATTATCTGAGGTCTCTCTGATTCCTTTCACAGAGCTCAGTATTCCTCAGGGCAGATGCTTTTAGGAGCTTAAAGCATGTGGCCTCAGGTCCTCTACCTGCATGTATTTCCACAAACTTGTGACTGATTATTATCTGTGGCAATATACACTGTAAAGTAGAAAACGTGGGAAAAAATTGATGCATCCTACGAGCATCATTTTGCTTATTTCATTCTTGTTTTTTATCTGAACAGTTGGCTCTTTAACAACAGGGGGGTTGAGGCACTGACCGCCTGCACAGTCAAAAATTTCTGTGTAACTTTTGACTCTGCCCAAATTTAACTATGAATAGCCTACTGTTGACTGGAAGCCTGGCTGGTGACCTAAACACATATTTTCTATGCTATTTGAAACTATATTCTTAAAACAAAGTAAGGTAGAGAAAAGAAAATGTTATTAAGAAAATCATAAGAAAGAGAAAGCCTATTTGCTGTTCACTAAGAGGAAGCAGAGCATCCTAGAGGTCTTCCTCCTCACTGTCTTCATGTTGTGTTGGGGGAGGGAGAGGAAGAAGAGAGGGGTTGGTTTTGCTTTCAGGGATGGTAGAGGCAGAAGAAAGTTCATGGATAAATGGCTGCACAGTTCAATGTTGTCCAAGGGGCAAATTTACTTTGGAATCATTAATTAAAAAACTAATGAATATAGTTGTAAGTTGAAATACTGGAACCATGTTTCCTGATAATCTCTTATCCATTTTGGTCTAATGCTTTAAAAGAATAATTTCTTTTTTAAAAAAACACATTTATTGAAATATCATTCATTCACAGTACAATTCACCCATTTAAAGTGTGCAAGTCAGTGGTTTTCAATGCATCTGAGTGTATATGTTGGTGCAACCATTACCACATTTTCAAGGTTCATGTATGTTGTTGCTTGGATTGGAACTTCATTCCTTTTTATGGCTGAGTAATATTCCATTGTATTGATATATGAGGTTTTGTTTATACATTCCTCAGTTGTCATTGCATTGTTCCATTTTTTTGGCTACTATGAAATATGCTCCTGTAGATAGTCATGTACAAGTTTTTGTGTGGTTGTATGTTTTCATTTTTCCTCTTGGGTATGTATCTAGGAGAATTTCTGGATCCTAAAACTTTACATTAAATCATTTGAGGAACAGCTAGACTCTTTCTAAAATGCCTGTACTATTTTATTGCCATGAATGGTGTATAGGGTTTTGATTTTTCCACATCTTCACCCCAATACTATTTATTGTCTGACTTAACAAACCTAGGCACCCTAATGTGAGTGATGTCTCCTTGTGGTTTTGATTTGTATTTTCCTGATGATTAATGATGTCAAACATCTTTTCATGTCTTGATTGGCCATGTGTGTTTCTTCCTTGGAGAAATGTCTATTCACATATTTTTCTCATTTTTAAATTTGGATTTTTTCTTTTTATTATTGAGTTGTGTTCTTTGTGTATTCTGTATACAAGTCCCTTATCAGATTTATGGTTTGAAAATATTTTCTCCCATTCTGTGAATTGTCTTTTTACTTTCTTGATTGTGTTCTTTGAAGCACAAAAGTTTTAAATTTTTATTAAGACCAAACTATCTGTTTTTTTTTTTTTTTGGTTACTCATAGTTGGGTGTCATATGTAAGAATCTTTTGCCAAATTTGTTCTGATGAAAATTTACCTCTATTTTCTTCTAAGAGTTTTATAGTTTTAGCTGCTACCTTTTTTGATCCATTTTAAGTTAATTTTTATATGTTGTGTGAGGTAAGAGCCCGCCTTCGTTATTTTTGCATGTGGCTGTTCAGTTATCCAAACATCATTTATTGAAAAGACTATTCTTTACCCATTGAATAATCTTGGCATATTTGTTAAAAATTAGGTGACCATAGCCATATAGTTTTATTTCTAGGTTCTCAGTTCTATTTCATTAATCTATATGCTTAGCTTTGTGCCAATATCACCTTGTCTTGGCGACTATTTGTTTTGTAATAGGAATGTATGAGTCCTCTTACTTTGTTCTCCTTTTCCAAGATTGTTTTGGCTATTCTGGGTCCTTTGTAACTCCACAAGAATTTTAGAATCAGCTTATAAATTTCTACAAAAAAGTTAGCTGGAATTCTGGTTGCTTTGAATTTGTAGATTAATTTGAGGAGCATTGCCATCTTAACAATATTATATCTTTTGATCCATAGGCATGGATGTTTTGCCATATACAGTAAAACCTCCACAATTGACCACCTCTCTACACTGACCACCTCCTTTCATTGACCTCATTTTCACAGACTCCTTAAGTTGACCTCATTTTCACAGACTGGACATGTGCCACCTGTACATTACCAGTACAGTAGGCCTGGTTCTTTATGTTGACCACCTCTGTATGTTGACCAGTTTGTTACAGGCTCTTGGGTGGTCAATTTACAGAGGTTTTACTGTATTTACATCTTTTCAAATTATTTTCAGTTATGCTTTGTAGGTTTTAGAGTAAATTTTTGTACTACTTTTGTAAAATTTATTTCTATGTATTTTGTTCATTTTAAATTTTTTCATTTCAAATTAATAAAGGGTACATATGATTAGGCTACATTGTTTGCATTTTTTTAGGTAAAAAGGTCCAAGTTAAGTATTTTATTCTTTTTGTTGTTATTGTATGCTAATTTATTTTCTGATTTTTCATACAAGTATATAGACATACAATTGATTTGTATATTGACTTTGTATCCTACAACCTTGCTAAATTCATATATTCTATATTTTTAATGAGTTATTATAGGTTTTTTTTCTCTTTCTTTCTGTCTCTCTCTCTCCTTTTCCTTTCCTGTCTTTTCTTTTCTTCTATTCTCTTTTTTCTCTATTCTATTCTCTATTTTCTTTTCTTAACAGGGTCTTGTTCTGTCACCCAGGTGTGCAGGGGCCTAATCACAGCTCCCTGCAAACTTCGATTCCTGGCTCAAGCAATCGTCTAGCCTCAGCCTTCCAAGTAGTTAGAACTATAGGCATACACCACCACATTTGGCTAATTTTTAATTTTTTTGTAGAGACAAGATCTCAAACTTCTAGCTTCAAGTGATCCTCTTGCTCTGGCTTCCCAAAGCACTGGGATTACAGGCATGAGGCACCATACCACGTTCAGGGTTCTCAGTATATAAGATCATGTCACTTGTAGATAGACACAGTTTTAATTCTTCCTTTCCAATCTGGATGTCTTTTATTTATTTTTCTGGCTGGAGCCTTTAGCTCATGTTGAGTAAAGATGATGAGAGTGATATTTTGTGGTGTTCCTGATAGTGGGAGGAAAGTATTCACTCATTTATTATGAAGCGTGATGTTAGCTGTGGGTTTACATAGATGCCTTTTAGCAAGTTGAGGAAGTGACTTCTATTTCTCCTTTGCTGAAAGCTATTATTGTGAAACAGTATTGGACTTTTGTCAAATGCTTTTTTCTGTGTCTGTCGAGATGATCATGTGATTTGAAACAATTCTATTAGTACGTTGTGTTACATTAATCAATTTTTGAATGTTAAACCTACCTTATATTTCCAGAATAAATCCCGCCCAGGCATGGTAATAATTCTTTCTATATGCTGCTATATTCATTTTGATATTATTTTGTTGTAGATTTTTGTGTGCACCTTTGTAAGAGACATTGATCTGTGGTTTTCTTTTTTTGTGATATCTTTATATAGTTTGGTATCAGGGTAATACAGTACTTACAGAATAAGTTAAGAAGTAGTCTGTCTTCTATTTTTGGAAAGAGAATTTGTAAAGTGGATATTAATTCTTTGTTTGGTAGAATTCAGCAGTGAAATCATCTGAGCTGTGCTATTCTTTGTAGGTAATTTTCTTAAAATATTACTAGTTTCATCTACTTCTCATGAGTCTATTTAGATGCCTATTTCAACTTAAGTCAGTTTTGATAGTTTATGTCTTTCTAGAAATCTGTCTATTGCATCTAAATTATCCAATTTATTGACATACGTTAGTTACTTATAGTATTTCCTTATAATTCCTTTTATTTCTTTAAAGTTGATAATAATGTTCCCTTTAATTTCTGATCCTAGTAATTTGAATCAGTCTTTGTTGGTCAATCCAGCTAAAGATTTGCCAATTTTGTTGATTTTTTTCAAGGAATCAGCTTCTGTTTTAATTAATTTTCTCTGTTGTTTTTCTATACTCTGTTTAATTCATTTTCTTTATAATCCTTATTTCTTCCTTTTTGCTTTATTTAGTTTTAATTTGCTTTTCTTTTTCACTGTCTTAAGGTAGAAGTTAGGTTATTGGTTTGAGATTTTCTTTATTAATATGTGTATGGGCGTGTAGAGCTGTAAATGTTTCCCACTGAGCACTGCTATCACTATATCCCATCAGTTTGGATGCACTGTGTCTCTATTTTCATTCACTGTTAAGTATTTTTGGATTTTCATACTTCTTTTTTGATCATTATCTGTTTAGGATCACTCTGCTTAATTTTACATATTTGTGAGTTTCTCCAATTTTTTTCTGTTATTTATTTCTGATTTCATTTCATTGTAGTTGTAAACATAGTTTGTGTTATATTGACATTTACTGAGATTTGTTTATAACCAGCACATGGTCTATCCCTGATAATGTACCATGTACACTTGAGGAGAATGTATAGTCTGTTGTTGTTGGATGGAGTCTTCTATAGGTTGTCTTTAAGTTCTAGTTGGTTTCTAGTGTTGTTCAAGTTTTCTACTTCTCTGTTGGTTTTTGCCTAGTTGTTCTAACTGTACATAATTGAAAATGAGTTGCTGAAATTTCCACTATTATTTTTGAATTGTCTATTTCTCGCCTTGTTTCTGTCATTTCTAATTTATGTTTTTGGTGCTGTATTATTAGTTATGTAGATTGTAATTGTCATTTTTTTTCTGTTGGAGTATAGATTCTTAATTCATAGATTGTATAGTTAACAAAACTTTCCCTCATGTTATGCATTTTAGATTTGGTTTTTATTTTTTATTGCTTGCATGTGTGTATGTGTATAGATAATTAAGAATTCGGGAGAGGTTCTTTCAGGAACTACAAGCCAGATAACTAGTATTGCAAGTTGGAGGAGTCATTTTTAGTTTTCAAAACAAGAAAAGGGTGATTTAGTTCATAAATATACAATTAATTATGTCAGATTGTTTTTATTTGCAACATGGATGAGCAAAAATGATAGAAACAAAATTTTAATGATATTGAATAAAATATCTTCTGTTATCCTCTTGACCACACTGAGGACCCAATGGCTCTTCTTTTGTGATGCACAGGAAATTCTGCCTTTTCTGTTTTTCAAACTTTCTGGAATCATTGAACAGCAACTTTAATAAAATCTCTGAAACTCTTAAAAAGATTATTGTATAATATTTGTCAGAATAATGCCTTTTTTCAAGAAATTATGTTAATCATAGCATTTCTAATAGGGACAACAGAAGGGGATCCATTTTGGGACAGCATTCGGGACCAGCTCCTGGGAAAACCATCTGAAGAAATCAAAGAATGTCATAAGCCAAAGCCAATTCTTCTTCACACTGGAGAGGTAATGCATTTTCATTATCATAATCAAATTGGTATGTTTAACTGTCAGATAATGAATAGTACATATCTACTGAGATGGAAGGCTTTATTTAGATATTTTAAAATCTACTTTTCAATACTAAACTTATGGATGCTGGAGGTGGAGCAATATGATGGACTAAAAGGATCATTCTGATCTCTCCTAGTGAGGAACAAAAGAGAACCTAGCCATACCTCCAGGTGGGGGATGTTACCTGGAGTTGTAGCTCAGGGTACACAGTGAGGTGGTGGTATACAGGAGAAAGCAGGTGATAAAGAGAGGTGGAGATCTTACTAGGCAAGTGATTGGGAGCCGGTGGGAATGGCCAGCCCCCATAAGGGCTGGAATGGGAGGAAGCCTTTCTGCATTTTTCTTTTTGGGGGATGCTGCACATCAAGTGGAAAGTTTAGAATAGTGGGCAGACTTGAATAGTATGCAGCAGCCAGATTTGAGTATTGGTTGGAGTGAATTTGCCATCAGTTTGATGACTGGCAGGGCAGCCATATTGGTAAGGTCCAGGCTGCCAGGGGGCCACCACTGTGGGAAGGTCTTGAGAAGGTTGTGAGGGTGGGCCTCTTAGCAGGGACCTAAATCATAGTTGTCTTTGTTCTGCCTGCTGGGATCAGAACTCCCACTTTTGGGACAGGCTGAGAAACTCCCACATTCCATAGGAACTCTTGTCAGGGGCACTGTAAGACCTACCTCTGAAGGATTCTGAAGAGCTTGAGGATCCTAACCTGGAGGGTCTGAATTCTGAGGAAACAATTAGGCAATCACTGCGGGCAACTAAAGTAGGAACCAGGACCATGCATGGAAACTAGAGAAGAGGTTGCCAGCTGTGCTCTTCATCCCATAAAAAAGCACAGCACCACTTGGTGTCCTGGCAATATATTACAACAGGAAGAAATAAAAGAGGAAATCATTAACTTCCTTGAGCATAACAACAATGAAGACACAAACTACCAAAACCTGTGGGATACAGCAAAAGCAGTCCTGAGAGGAAAATTTATCACTTTAGATGCCTACATCAAAAAACAGAGAGCGTATCAACAAACTCATGAACCATCTTATAGAATTGGAAAAAGAAGAATAATCTAATTCTAAACCTAGTAGAAGAAAAGAAAGAAACGATATTAAATCAGAGATGAATGAAATTGAAAACAAAAGAATCAATCAGAAAATTAACAAGACAAAAAGTCAGTTTTTAAAAAATATAAAATCGATAAAACTTTGTCCAGATTAACTAGAAACAGAAAAATAAAATCTCTAATAATCTCAATCAGAAATGATAAAGGGGAAATAATAACAGATGCCACAGAGATACAAAAGATCATCTCTAAGTATTACAAGAAACTCTATGCCTAGAGATTTGACAATGTGGAGGAAATGGATTAATACCTGGAATCATACCCTCTCCCTAGACTTAACCACGAAGAAATAGATCTCTTGAACAGACCAATTTCAAGAAATGAGATCAAAGAAATAATAAGAAATCTTCCAACAAAAAAATGCCCTGGTCCAGATGGCTTCACACCAGAATTCTATCAAACCTTCAAAGAAGAGATTATATCCATACTGCAGAACTTATTCCAAAAAATTGAAAAGGAAGGAATCTTCTCCTACCTGTTCTATTAAGCAAACATTACCCTGATACCAAAACCATGAAAAGACCAAACTAAAAAGGAGAATTTCAGACCAATTTAACTAATGAATATAGGTGCAAAAATTCTCAATAAAATCCTTGCTAATAGATTACAGCTTCACATTAAAAAATCACACATCACGATCAAGTAGGTTTCATCCCAAAGATGCAAAGCTTGTTTAACATACACAAGTCCATAAACATAATTTGCCCTATCAACAGAAGCAAAAAGAAAGATCATATGATTCTCTCAATAGATGCAGAAAAAGCGTTTGATAAAATTCAGCATCCTTTTCTAATTGGAACACTTGAGAATTAAGCATAGGTGGCACATTTCTTAAAATGATTGAAGCCATCTACAACTAACCGACACCTAATATTATAATGAATGGAGTAAAACTGAAAGCTTTTCCACTTACAACTGGAACCAGACAAGGTTGTCCTCTATCATCACTACTACTCAACATAGTTCTGGAAGTTCTAGCCAATACAATCAGGCAAGAGAAAGAAATAAAGGTCATCCAAATGGGGGCAGAGGAGATCAAACTCTTGCTCTTTGCTGATGAAATGATCTTATCCTTAGAGACCCCAAGGACTCAACTGCAAGATTCCTGGAAGTGATCCAAAAATACAGTAATGTCTCAGGATACCAAATTAATGTCCACAAATCAGTAGTCTTTGTATATGCCAATAACAGCCAAGTTGAGAAGCTAATCAAGGACACAATTCCCTTCACATTAGCTTCATAAAAATGAAATACCTAGGAATGTACCTAACAAAGAGGTGAAGGACCTCTATAAAGAAAATTATGAAACCCTAAGAAAAGAAATAGCAGAAGATATTAACAAATAGAAGAACATACCATGCTTATGGCTGGGAAGAATCAACATTGTTAATTTGTCTATACTTCTCAAAGCAATCTACAGATTCAATGCAATCCCCATTAAAATACCAGCATCATACTTTTAAGATTTGGAATAAATAATTCTTCATTTTGTTTGAAACCAGAAAAAAAAAAAACTCATATAGCCAAGGCAATTCTTTTTTTTTTTTTGTTTTTTGGCTGGGTCTGGGTTTGAACCCACCACCTCTAGCATATGGAGCTGGTGTCCTACCCTTTTGAGCCACAGGCACCACCCAGCAATTCTTAGTAATAAAAAGAAAGCCAGGGATTAAAAATAAGGCAAGAATAGGAACTACAAACTTAAAGTGCTGTTAGAGTAAAAATAGAAATAATTAAATTATAAAAAATGGAATCCCTTATTTATTGTGTACATATAAGGATAGTCACTCATAATACTTTAGGTGAGCCTTTGGTTATCCATTACACATTGTGATTCCATATTGACAAATCTACCAAAAATTTCATTAGTAATTCCAGGTCAATGGATCATTGATATTTGTGATTCACATGTTATTACTGGGAAAGAAATGCCCATACAGAATATTTAATCATAAATTAGAAATAAATCCCATGACAGGATAAAAAACCAAAACCAGCTTGAAATATTTAAAATCCTTTAACAAAGATGTTTCTGTGACTATCACCTGTCTGCTCACCATAGAAAGAATAACATTCCTAACATGATTTTTTTTTTAATTTTGGATTTTTAGCTATCAAAACCTCACCCCTGGCATCCAGATATTGTTGATGTTCAGATCCTTACTCTGGGGTTCTTGGCCATAACCGCCATACCTGGGGAGTTAACGTAAGTTCTTTTTTTAAATTTCTTAGTTAAAAAGGGTGTTTATTTTGTGTGTATTTCTATTGGAGTGGTTCTTAGCATTGGAAGATAAGTCTTTCCTGACCTCTTAGTATGTTACTGTACTATCTTTGGCAAAAGTGACAAATATTCCTACCCACTTTTGGTAGGGCCTTTAAAGAATAAATCCCCATTTGCCTATTACTGTGGTTAACCTGAAGCAAATATGAAATTTTAAAAACGTATTTCAAATGAAAATGATGCCATGAATTATTGTGTCAATAGACTTTAAATAAGATTAAAATAGAGGTACTTGAAATAGTCAGTTTGGGTATTAAAATCATGTAAGAATGTTTTAAATCTGCTTGTTATGTAATGTTTCAGATCCTACTAAGTCATCTTTTTTATTTTTCTAGCTGATTTCTTCACTTCCTCCTGGTCTAAACTACAGTTATCTCTTACCCAGATTATTGCAATAATCTCCTCTCTGGTCTACTTAATCCCACCCTTACTCCTCTGTAATCTTTTCTCAGCATAATAGCCGGATTAAACCTTATAAAACATAAGTGAAATCTTTCCCCCTTGTCTTCTCAAAACCATCCAGCAGCTTACCGTTTTGTTCTGGGTAAATCCTCATACCTATATGCTGTGGTCCTCAGCAAACTCTCTGATCCACTTTCTTACCTCTCTCCTTTGCTTACCTCTGCTTCAGCCACCCTGATTTTACTGTATTTCCCAGGCTTATCAGGGATGTTCTTATCTCAGGGCCTTTGAACTATGGTTCTTTCTTTCTGGAAGACTTTTTCTCCAGTTATCTCCATGGCTAGGTCTTTTTGTCCTTCAGTTCTTTGCTCAAATCTCTACCAGGGTTGGCAGTGCTGCTGGCATTGTATCAATTAGTCTTCACCCACCATTACTACCAATGCCACCATTGCACCAGCACCTGCATTACACCATCATCATCGCAGTAGCCATACCACTCTCTTTCATCCTTCCCCTGCTGTGTTATTCTCCTTAGTGCTTATTGTCATATCACCTTTTGGGGATGGTAGACAGATTCTCACTCTGTCCCCCAGTCTAGAGTCCCATGGCCTCAGCCTAGCTGACAACAACCTCAACTCTGGGGCAGAAGCAATCCTCCTGCCTCAGCCTCCTGAATAGTTAGGACTACAGGTAGATTATGCCCTTAATTTTTCTATTCTTAGTAGAGACGGGATCTTGCTCTTGCTCAGGCTGGTCTTGACCTCAGGTGATCCTCTTACTTTGGCCATGCCGAGTGCTAGAATTGCAGGCACTGTGCCTGGCAAGTCATCTCACTTTTCTCCTTGCTCACTGACCTCCCCTGCCTACAATGTAAGCTCCATATTGTTGAATCCTTAGCATCTAGCAGTGGGCCTGGTGTGTAGTAGATGCTCAGTGTTTTATTGAGGGATTAAATGAATGAAAGAAATGGTAAGTTCTTTGTTGGCCTGAACAGTAGTATATAGTCTACCTGTCCCAGCAATTATTAGCATAGAATGTAACTGATACATTTTGTGGAATCAAGAATGAGAAATGATGATGATCTTTTGCCAGTGATACTCACTAATCTGTTTCTCTCCTTTCATCACATGCACTGTCTTCAGTCTAGAATCTGTTTTAAAGATAGGGCAGTCAGGAATAAAAAACTCTAGTTTAGCTTTGGATTATTTTTGAGTTCTGACATGTGATGAGCCAGGGTGATTTTTGGCTTTCACAGTTAAGTCTTTTTGTATACTTTGTACACATGCTGAGTAAGAAAACTGAATTCTGTTTTCTTGACTCAGGACCATGTCTGGACGAAGACTTCGAGAGGCAGTTCAAGCAGTAAGTTAAAAATGAAATAAAATCCCTACATATTTATATTTATGCAGAAGAAAGAATTCAGTACCTTTATAATCTCAAACCTTTTAAATTAATTCTGCCTAGGATGACTAAAGTTCCACACTTCTTGAAGTTCTTGGCTAGAGGTGAATATGAAATATTGATGTTAGAAGAACCAAACTTTAAAAATATCAGGGAATTATCATTATGTTAAAAATATTTCATTGGTAGGTGATGCCTATGGCTCAGTGGGTAGGGTGTCGGCCCCATACACTGAGGTTGGCGGGTTCAAACTCGGCCCTTGCCAAACTGCAACAAAAAAATATCCAGGTGTTGTGGCAGGTGCCTATAATTCCAGCTACTTGGGAGACTGAGGCAAAAGAACGACCTAAGCCCAGGAGTTGGAGGTTGCTGTGAGCTGTGTGACACCATGGCAGTCTACCAAGGGTGATAAAGTGAGACTCTGTCTCTCCAAAAAAACCCCAACCAAACAAAAAATATATATATTTCATTGGTATTAATAATTTGAAACTATACTAGTTTATAGATTAAATAGTAAGTAATCCTTACATACTTTAATATCTTACATTTCTGTGAATAGTCTAAATAAAATGTATTATATTTGAGGAATTCTGTATTTGTAATTTTTTAATATTCAGTAAATACTGTAATGGTTCTACAGTGACATTATCAACAATTGCCTTGTTGCTTGGAGCTGAAAAACACTATTCCAGTTAGCGTAAATATCTACCCATTATATATTTTAGGAAATTGATTTAAAATAATCTCTATTAAGGTAAGAAGAAGATTCTGTACCTACAAATGTGATCATTAAGATTTTTATAGATAGGAGCATATTGCAAGTACGAGTTGGCTCTGTCAGGTGTAGAACACAATTGTCTTAATCCTGTAATTGGGTAAATGAGGCGAAGGCTATGTTGTTGAGTAGGATGTAACACTCCAATTTGTACAAATAATCAACACATTGAATCCCATAATGGCATAAGTATATTTATAATCTATGTACAAATGACTTAATAAAAAAAAGATTTTTATAGATCACTCATTTGTCCAACTGTAATGCATACCTTTCCATCAAGGACTCTTTGATACCTCTGAATTCTCAGGGAGTTTCAATCATTGGGAAGAATTTTGTTAAAAGAGATATCTTACACTCATAGTTTATATCAATGATTGTGTGTTAAATATAACTGGGATAATAATATACTCTAAGATAAAGATCATTTTATTGGGCTTTTCCCTCCTAGGAATTTGCATCATATGGGATGCAGAATATGACTGTCGTTATTTCAGGTCTATGCAATGTCTATACTCATTATATTGCCACCTATGAAGAATACCAGGTAAAGTAAAAAGTTCTCATTATTTAAATGAATTATATCCTGAGTAAGACTATTGTGTTACTGTACAATAACAATATCTGCATTGTGTTCAATGCAGATTTTCTTTTGAAATTTCCCCATACATGTTTCTGAGAGATTACCCTGTTTTAGGTAGGGCACAGAAGAGAAGGATAAGTCAGAAGCTTATTATTTATCATTTGGGAGTTAAGTTTATTATTTCCAAGTTGAGATAAGAATTCTAGTTTCGCTGACTTCAGCTTTCCCTGAAATCAATTATTTTGTCAGGGCACTGATAATAATCCTTGCTTGGGCCGTACAACATTCCAAACTCTATTCATGATACATCTGATGTCTTAAGCCTCTGTAGAACCTGGGAAAACTCCTGTTCGCTGCTATTTATTGAATGTAAAGGTTAAGGATGTCCTGAAGTAGAGTATTATTATATTCATGACATATATTAAGAAACAGAGTCCCAGAGTGGGAGGAGAATGATGGCTGTTAATATTTCCTTGTTTATAAATAGTTCAGCAGCCCAAGTACTTATTAACTGTAGTTGTTATAAATATGAAAATCTAGAGTCCCCTAATTAATGATTTCTAAGATGTCTGCTGGCATACCTCGTATCATGGTAGTTCATACAGAGGCACAAAGTCTACCCCTTGGCATATTCAGTTGATACTAGGAATAGAATCTGCCCTGATGCCCTCTATTGGCTTTACTAAAGGTCTCTGCCTTCTAGGAAATCCTGTTGAGTAGGGGTTCTTAACTGCAATGAACTTGGATAAGAATTATTACTTCTTTTTCTCACTATTCTCTACTTTTAGCATTTCCTTCAATTCTAAATATAGGAAGGAAATACAAATAATATTAGCAATATCTCTGACTATCAACAATATGAACTAGATATTTTCGCATCACATACAGTTGCAGATTTGGAAATGTCTTTTATTCTTCTTGCTATTTTATAATAAAATCACAGCAGTTATTAGATATGCACATAGATCTTGTTATTCAATAGCATCATAAAGAAGCATATAAGTTACTGTATTCAAAAATGCTTTATTATAGTCCATAAATATATTTCTTTTCTTTTTTTATATTAAATCATAGCTGTGTGCATTAATGCAATCACAGGGTCCAGTGTGGTGTTTTCATATACAATTTGAAATACTCTCATCAAACTGGTTAAAGTAGCCTTCATGTCATTTTCTTAGGTATTAAGTTAAGTCATTCATACTCTGCTTTTAGAAATATTCACTTGTACCCCTTGTAAGATAAACCATAGAGGTGACCCCACCAATCACCCTCTCTCCACGCCTCTTCTCTCCCCTGTTTCTCCCCACTCCCCATATTCTAAGGCTATAATTAGGTTATAACATTCCCATGAAAGCTATAAATTAGTTTCAAAATAGGGATGTGTACATTGGATACTTTTTCTTCCATTCTTGAGATACTTTGCTAAGAACATTTCCAGCTCTATCCATGTAAACATGAAGGAGGTAAAGTCTCCATCTTTCTTTAGGGATGCATAGTATTCTATTGTGTATATATACCACAATTTATTGATCCATTCGTGGGTCAGTGGGCACTTGGGCTTCTTCCATGACCTAGCAATTATGAATTGGGCTG